CTACAGGTGCCAAGCTTCAAGGGCTAAATTCTTACAAAAATCTTTTTACTCTCTCCTTTTTTTTTTTTTCCAGAGACTGAGTCTTACTTTGTCGCCCTCGGTAGAGTGCTGTGGTGTCATAGCTCACAGCAACTTCCAGCTCTTGGGCTTAGGTGATTCTCTTGCCTCAGCCTCCTGAGTAGCTGGGACTATAGGCGCCCACCACAACGCCTGGCTATTTTTTATTGCATTTTGTCCAGGGCCAGGTTTGAACCCACTACCCTCAGTATATGGGGCCGGTGCCCTACTTACTGAGCCATAGGCACTGCCCCCTTTTTACTCTTTTGTAATTAGCACTTGGCCTAAACTACAAACACATTGTACAGCTGTACAAAAATATTTTCTTTTCTTTTCTTTTTTTTTTAGAGACAGAGTCTCACTTTGTCACCCTCGGTAGAGTGCTTTGGTGTCACAGCTCACAGCAACCTCCAACTCCTGGGCTTAGGCAATTCTCTGGGCTTAGGCGATTCTCTGGCCTCAGCCTCCTGAGTAGCTGGGACTATCGGCACCTACCACAATGCCTGGCTATTTTTTTGTTGCAATTTGGACAGGGCCAGATTTGAACCCACCACCCTCTGTATATAGGGCCAGCACCCTACTTACTGAGCCATAGGCGCCGCCCCCCAAAATATTTTCTTTATGTGTTTATAAGCTTTTTTTTTTCTTGAAACAGCGTCTCAGTCTGTCACCTTAGGTTGAGAGCTGTAGCATCATAGCTTCTAGCAACCTTAAACTCTTGGACTTGAGCAATTATCTTGCCTCAGCCTCCCGAGTAGCTGGGACTGCAGACACCTGCCACAATGCCTGGATTGTTTTTCTATTTTTAGTAAAGATGGGGTCTTAGACTGATCTTGAACTCCTGAGCTCAAGCAATTCACCCGCTTTGGCCTTCCAGAGTGCTAGGATTACAGGCATGAGCCACTACGCTTGGCCTATAAACTTTTTTCTGTTTTAACTTTTTTTTTAACTTTGTAAACTTTGGCTCGGCGCCTGTGGCTCAACCGGCTGGGGCGTCAGCCACGTACACCTAGGGTGGCGGGTTCGAGTCCCCAGCCCGGACCCGCCAGACAACGATGACGGCTGCAACCAAAAAATGGCCGGGCGTTGTGGCGGGCGCCTGTGGTCCCGGCTGCTTGGGAGGCGGAGGCGGGAGACTCGCTTGAGCCCAGGAGTTGGAGGTTGCTGTGAGCTGTGATGCCACGGCGCTCTACCCAGGGGGACAGCTTGAGGCTCTGTCTCAAAAAAAAACTTTGTAAACTTTTTTGTTAAAAACCAGGAATTATGGTTCAGTGAGTAGGGCTCCTGCCCCATATACCGAGGGTGGCAGGTTTGAACCCAGCCCTGGCCAAACTGAAACAAAAAAATAGCTGGGTGTTGTGGTAGGCTCCTGTAGTCTCAGCTACTCGGGAGGCTGAGGCAAGAGAATCACCCCATACCCAGGAGCTGGAGGTTGCTGTGAGCTGTGGCACCATTGCACTCTACTGAGGGTGACTCT